CTAGGCTGTCCATTCTCCTCTGATTTGACATCAATAGGATATTTTTGTCCACATAACTGCCGCTCACTGGATATTTTCTCTTTTTTGGACCATTTTCTGTAAACCCTAGATCACAGTAGATCAGCAGTGTTTGAAAAACTCATACCAGCCCATCTGGCACCAACACCCATGCCACATTCAAAGTGACTTATATCTTCTTTCTTCCCTATTCTGATGCTTGGTTTGAACTTCAGCAAGTCGTCTTTACCACGTCTAGATGCATAAATTCATTGAGTTGCTGCCATGTGATTGGCTGATTAGCAATTTGTGTTACCAAGCAATTGAACAAGTGTACCGAATAAAGTGGCCGGTGAGTGTATGGGCAAGAATGACACAGCATGATAGAACCTAAAGTTCCACAACAACAAATAGTCTATTCTGGAAAGGCTACAGCACACTTTCCTGAATGCAAACAATTAGAAACTGACGTGTCCAACCATAAATCAACCTTAAGCACGCTCCATGTAGCTTCGACCTGTTGCCTCACTTTAAAAAACAGTGACTGCTATCTTTACATTGTCAACATGAACATAATAAAATGTAAGTGATGTAATGCTACACAAACACTTAAATAATAAGTCATCATTCTAGAGTTAAGATTATCTTGAAATTTGAAGTTATCATTGTAAAGCTCAGATATATTCTTTTAGATTTGTAATTTAATAGCTCAGAGTTATTTTTTTAATTTACTCTAGCATACTCCTATAGCTGATGGTTTATACAGTTATTCTTTCAATAGCTGCAGACACATAAAAAGGAAATAAATTACTCCAACAATATACGTTATTGCTTAGCAAAAAAAAAGAATTCTGGTTGGCCGTATGTCCAATAAAATCTCCTTTATTGAATCATCATCCAAATAGACACTCCGCAATACAGTAGAAAAGGGAAAACAGCACACCAGCTAATGCCTTTCACGATGACATCAGCGCTTAATCATAGCTAGCATTGTGACGAACGTGGCGTCAGACTCCAGCCCTTCTCACCAAATTCGTGACCGAAGGACTAGCCAATCTAAAACCGCGATGTCACGTGCGTAACAATGCCACATCCAGCTGCACCCTGCACAACAATTTTCCAACTAATTGGACCACAATCGATGTACCGGCAGCCTGGGAGCGATTGTTACTGAGTCAGGTTAATTACGCAATTAACCCTTCACACTGCCACCACCTCCTTTTTGTACAGAGAAAGAGGAAACTTGGCAATCTCAGCAATAACACTATGATGGTTGAGATAATCATCTGTATAGCACGGTCACCACAGACGGGTTATACAGAGGGTTAAACACATACAGTAGCGCTCTTTTAGAGGCAGGAATTCGTAAATTGCAATAAAGAGCTATAGAAACAGTTCAACACTTTCAGAAGGAAAGATTTATTACTAAAAGGTCAAAAGGGTGCAATAAAAATATTTACAGAAAAAAGATGTAACCAATATATATATAAATACACAGAGAACAACAGCACAGCAAAGAGGTAACAGAAAGGAGGTTAAAGGGTTAAAGTACTTGCCAATCAGCCTTGGGTTTGCAGATCAAGTTTCAAAGCAAAAGGACACGTCTCCCAGGTTGGTTCTGATGTTAAAAGGGAGAATTCTTCAACTTCACTCTCTTAGGCCTGACATCCCATTTTGTAGTTCCCTAGCAGGGGGTGTCTCTGAAGTCAAGGAACAATGCCCCGTTTAGGGAGGGAAGGTCTGGGCGTAGACCTAAACTACAGCCAAAATCTCTTGTAGTTCATATTTTGGCTCATAACTTTTCCTATGCACAAGTGACATTCCACCCGCGGGTAGATTACTATACAGATGCATCTGAGGAACGGGTAGATATGAAATATGAAATACATATTTGCAGGGTTCCAGAGATGTAATTTTCTGCTTTCCTAGGTATTCCAGTCAGAGAGTGTGACCTATCAATCTGTTTGTCTTCTCGTGGGCAATCTGAAGATATGCCTGGTTTTTATGTAAGTCTCTCATATTCCAAGATATGAGACATAGGGGAAAAATGGATTTTAAAAGTGTTATCTGGTTCGTGCTCCTCTGGAATGTCTTTTGAACTCCTGGGAAAGCTTGCGTTATCTTTTACGATGTGCTAGATTGCACAGCTTTCTTAGACAGCCAGGCACTCAGCTCAGAGAGGTTGTATAGCTCTGGGCTCCCTGCTGGGCTCTGGCCTGCCTGTGAAACTTCCAACACTCACACCGACCAGATGTTACTGTGGCTCTCAGAGAGGGAGGGGGAGAATGAGGGGAGACATAGAGAATTCTTAACAAAATGGAGGACCGCGTCCGTCTCTGTGTGTACGCTTGCTACAAGCAAAGCATTATCACTTATGTCTTACCTTAGGAAGGTCTTCTCCTGCATAGCCAGCACGAATTGAAAATGAGCCAATATCAAAGACCAAGGATACAAGTTTATCTACATTAAAATAAGAATCATCAAAAAGTTAACCTCAAAATTTATATATGGTTTAGAATTTTCACTCATCTGGATTACCTCATGTAGAAGAAGCACAATATAATTACAATTTTCAAAATGGATCACAAATAATTGAATGGTAACTGTGCAGCTATACAAAAGAATGATGTTAAGCGTAATAAGCAACAAGCAAGTATCATAAGTAAGCATCAGAAAAGAAAACGGTACAGTGCAGGGGTTAGTGACATATAATAAATAGCTGAAGGACAAATGATTGCTCTGTTTGACAATAGAAGGATAGAGTATTATAAGCAGTGGAAATTATATGGATAGAAATAGTCCCTGTATTGTGAAGTTGCACAACAGTTAGCTAAAGTGGGGGAGGTGGGACAACTGTCAGCTAGGCAAGTTCTGGCCACAAGTTGTAGAGGAGAATGGTTATTTAAAGGGAAAGGTAAAGAATAGGAGAAAAAAAGAGGAAGAAGAGAAGTAGATAGAGAGGAGGTAAGGGGGAGAAATTAGTAGCAAGGGCGTAAATTAGGGAAAGTTTTATTTATGGGGGGGCATTAGTTATTTATTACCCTAAAGAATAAATTAGAGTGAAAAAGGGTAGCTATTATATTCTAGCCCTGGAGACCATATTTTTAAAAATATTGGTTGAGTATCCTTAAGTATTACAATAGGTTCACCCTGGCAAAGTTGATGGTTGGTTGTTTCCAAGCTTTAACCAAAGGGTCCTTGGCTTGAATCCTTACCAGGACATAGTCTGCATGATCTGCAGGTTCATGCTTGGGTGGATTTCCTCCCATGCTTTAAAAATATGCTGGTAGGATATGTAGCTCCTGCTAAATTTTCCTTAGTATGTGTATAAGATAGTGACCTTAGATTGAAAGCTCCTGGAGGGTAAAGTGTTACTTACATTGTCAATGCTAGAACTAGAGATGAGCGAATTTCTCAAAAATTCGATTCGGCTGATTCGGCGAATTCCAGTGTGAAATTCGATTCGATGCGAATTTCTTCGCTACGAAGATGACTTATAAAAAGGGTTTCTAGGCTTCAGAGAGCCTTTAAATTAGTGCAGAACACTGTACCTTTAATTTAAATGCCCTTGGAGATGAGGAAAGAGAAGGAGAAGGAGAAGGATGAGGAGAAGGAGAAGGATGAGAGAAGGAGAAGGAAGAGAAGGATGAGAAGAAGGAGAAGGAGAAGGATGAGAAGAAGGAGAAGGAGAAGGATGAGAAGGAGAAGGATGAGAAGAAGGAGAAGGAGAAGGATGAGAAGAAGGAGAAGGATGAGGATGAGAAGAAGGATGAGAAGAAGGATGAGAAGAAGGATGAGAAGAAGGATGAGAAGGATGAGAAGAAGGAGAAGGATGAGAAGGAGGAGAAGGAGAAGGAGAAGCAGAAGGAGAAGGATGAGAAGAAGGAAAAGGAGAAGGATGAGAAGATGGAGAAGGAGAAGGATGAGAAGAAGGAGAAGGAGAAGGATGAGAAGAAGGAGAAGGAGAAGGATGAGAAGGAGAAGGATGAGAAGAAGGAGAAGGATGAGAAGAAGGATGAGAAGAAGGAGAAGGATGAGAAGAAGGAGGAAGGAGAGAAGAAGGAGAAGAGAAGAGAAGAAGAAGGAGAGAAGAAGAAGGAGAAGGATGAGAAGAAGAAGGAGAAGGATGAGAAGAAGGAGAAGGATGAGAAGAAGGAGAAGGATGAGAAGAAGGAGAAGGATGAGAAGAAGGAGAAGGATGAGAAGGATGAGAAGAAGGAGAAGGATGAGAAGAAGGAGAAGGAGAAGATGAGAAGAAGGAGAAGGAGAAGGATGAGAAGAAGGAGAAGGAGAAGGATGAGAAGAAGGAGAAGGATGAGAAGAAGGAGAAGGATGAGAAGAAGGAGAAGGATGAGAAGAAGGAGAAGGATGAGGAGAAGGAGAAGGATGAGGAGAAGGAGAAGGATGAGAAGAAGGAGAATGATGAGAAGAAGGAGAATGATGAGAAGAAGGAGAAGGATGAGAAGAAGGAGAAGGATGAGAGAAGGAGAAGGAGAAGGATGAGAAGAAGGAGAAGGATGAGAAGAAGGAGAAGAGAGAAGAAGGAGAAGCAGAAGGAGAAGGATGAGAAGAAGGAAAGGAGAAGGATGAGAAGATGAGAGAAGGAGAAGGATGAGAAGAAGGAGAAGGAGAAGGATGAGAAGAAGGAGAAGGAAGGAGAAGGATGAGAAGATGGAGAAGGAGAAGGATGGAGAAGAACGAGATGAGGAGAAGAGAAGGAGAAGGATGAGAAGAAGGAGAAGGAGAAGGATGAGAAGAAGGAGAAGGAGAAGGATGAGAAGAAGGATGAGAAAAAGGAGAAGGATGAGAAGAAGGATGAGAAGAAGGAGAAGGATGAGAAGAAGGAGAAGGAGAAGGATGAGAAGAAGGAGAAGGATGAGAAGAAGGAGGAGATGGATGAGAAGAAGAAGAGAGGATGAGAAGAAGGAGAAGGATGAGAAGAAGGAGAAGGATGAGAAGAAGGATGAGAAGAAGGATGAGAAGAAGGAGAAGGATGAGAAGAAGGACAGTTCTGTGACAGTTTCTGTCTATTTCTGACAGTTCTGGGACATTCACTCCATACAGCTGTTTCAACCGCTGTATGGAGGGAATGTCATGGAACTGTCAGAAATAGACTATTAATGACAGTTCTGGGACTGTCCTTCCATGCAGCGGTTGAAACATTGTATGTATTTGTTTCCATAAATGGATCCATTTATGGAAACAAATATCCCTCCATACAGCGGTTTCCGGCAAAAAGTGTATGTGCAGAGTTCCTCTATTCTGCAGATACACTTAGAGGAGCTCTGCAGATACACTTAGAGGAGCTCTGCACATACACTTTTTGCCGGCTTGGAATTATTCTTATTTTCATCCATCCTACTTCTTCTTCTTCTTCTTCTTCATCCTCATCCTCATCCTCTTCTTCTTCTTCTGATCTGGATGAGGATGAAGAAGAAGAAGAAGAAGAAGTAGGATGAAAATAAGATTAATTCCAAGCCGGCAAAAAGTGTATGTGCAGAGCTCCTCTAAGTGTATCTGCAGAGCTCCTCTAAGTGTATCTGCAGAATAGAGGAACTCTGCACATACACTTTTTGCCGGCTTGGAATTATTCTTATTTTCATCCTACTTCTTCTTCTTCTTCTTCTTCTCCTCATCCTCATCCTCAGAAGAAGAGGAAGAAGAGGATGAGGATGAAGATGAAGAAGAAGAAGAAGAAGTAGGATGAAAAGAAGAATAATTCCAAGCCGGCAAAAAGTGTATGTGCAGAGTTCCTCTATTTCTGACAGTTCTCTCACAGCTTCTTCACATGTACAGCGGTTGAAACATCTGTATCCTAAATGGAAACTAATAGATACAAATTGTATCTATTAGTTTCCATTTAGGATACAGATGTTTCAACCGCTGTACATGTGAAGAAGCTGTGAGAGAACTGTCAGAAATAGAGGAACTCTGCACATACACTTTTTGCCGGCTTGGAATTATTCTTCTTTTCATCCTTCTTCTTCTTCTTCTTCTTCATCTTCTTCTCATCCTCATCCTCCTCTTCTTCTGAGATGAAGAAGATGAAGAAGAAGAAGAAGTAGGATGAAAAGAAGAATAATTCCAAGCCGGCAAAAAGTGTATGTGCAGAGTTCCTCTATTTCTGACAGTTCTCTCACAGCTTCTTCACATGTACAGTGGTTGAAACATCTGTATCCTAAATGTAAACTAATAGATACAATGTTTCAACCGCTAAACATGTGTTCCTTCTGTCAGAGAACTGTCAGAAATAGCGGAGCTCACTGCAGGGACACTTTTGCCGGCTGATCGGGAAATGTTCGATTCGCGCACCCGAAGTAGGCAAAATTTCGGTTTCGCCGCGAATCGAATATTTCCTGAAATTCGACTCGAATTCCGGTTCGCCTGTACGCCCAACGACTGGCTTCTGTTGAACAGAGAGGAGTACACATATACCAAAAAGATTATTGGATTCCCTGATTTATTCAAAACTAAGAAAGATAAGAGTGTTGACTATATATATGCTGTATATTTTATCTTTGAGGATTGTTTGTGCCCGCATTTTCTCAGGGTCAAATATGTGGTCAAATTTAACATTTGAGTAATTTTTTAGATAACCAGGAAAAAACATTTTCTACACTGCTCAAAAAAATTAAAGGAACACTTTTTAATCAGAGTATAGCATCAAGTCAATTAAACTCCTGGGATATTGATCTGGTCAGTTAAGTAGCAGAGGGGGTTGTTAATCAGTTTCAGCTGCTGTGGTGTTAATGAAATTAACAACAGGTACACTAGATGGGCAACAATGAGACCCCCAAAACAGGAATGGTTTTACAGGTGGAGGCCACTGACATTTTTTTCCCTACTGATCTTTTCTGAATGCTTTTCACTAGTTTTGCCTTTGGCTGGGGTCAGTGTCACTACTCGTAGCATGAGGCGGTACCCAGACCCTACAGAGGTTGCACAGGCAGTCCAACTCCTTCAGGTTGGCACATCAATATGTGCCATTGCCAGAAGGTTTGCTGTGTCTCCCAACACAGTATCAAGAGCATGGAAGAGAATCCAGGAGACAGCCAGTTACTCTAGGAGTGCTGGACAGGGCCATAGAAGGTCCTTAACCCATCAGCAGGACCAATATTTGCTCCTTTGTGCAAAGAGGAACTGGATGAGCACTGCCAGAGCCCTACAAAATGACCTCCAGCAAGCCACTGGTGTGAATGTCTCTGACCAATCAGAAACAGACTTCATGAGGGTGGCCTGAGGGCCCGACATCCTCTTGTGGGCCCAGTGCTCACTGCCCGGCACCATAGAGCTTGATTGGCATTTGCCACTGAACACCAGAATTGGCAGGTCCACCACTGGTGCCCTGTGCTTTTCACAGATGAGAGCAGGTTCCCCCTGAGCACGTGACAGATATGAAAAGGTCTGGAGAAGCCATGGAGAACATTATGCTGCCTGTTACATCATTCAGCATGACCGTTTTGGTGGTGGGTCAGTGATGGTCTGGGGAGGCATATCCATGGAGGGACGCACAGACCTCTACAGGCTAGACCAGTGTTTCTCAACCTTTTTTCAGTCAAGGCACCCTTTAAAATTTGGACAGTCTTGAGCCACCCCATTCTAAAATGAAGCGCCTAAAGACTGTCCATAATTTTAAAAAGGCACCCCATTCTAAAATGTGAAAAACTATTCTAATAGTTTTATATAACGCAGCAACATTCACACATGTTGGACACCCAACATTAGATGTGATTTATTCTTCCAAAGCAAATACACTTTTGCACACTGGTACTGAGTAGTATTCCATGGTTTCTCTTCTTCCTCAGTTTTTCTCCATCACTGAGCTAATGTAACCCCAGCACTGATGGAGAGGGGCAGCGGAGGGTCAAACTATGATGTTGTGCAGGCAGCTGGCATCCTCCTTATCAAATGATGATGTAATTAGTTGTGAGAACACCAGCAGCTAGAAGGCCATAATGGTGCACAATGAAAACCTATGGCTTTGTGTAACTAAAAGGCAGACTTGTTCCACCCACTGGTTTATAGACAACTTTTGGGCAATTTGTAGACATTTTGCCAAGGCATCCCTGAAGAAACCTCAAAGCACCCCAGGGTACCTGGGCACCCTGGTTGAGAGAGGCTGGGCTACACAATGTCACCCTGACTGATACCATTGAATGCCCCCCCCCCCCCCCCCCATCACCTGACTTAAATTCAATAGAACACCTCTGGGATATTATGTTTTGGTCTATCCAATGCAGCTAGGTTGCACCTCAGATTGTTCAGGAGGTCAGTGATGCCCTGGTCCAGGTCTGGGAGGAAATATCCCATGACACCATCTGGCATCTCATTAGGAGCATGCCCTGATATTGGCATGCATACAAGCATTTAGGGGCCACAAAAACTACCATATTGAGTTGCTGCAATGAAATTTCAGCAAAATGGACTAGCCTTCTGCATAATTTTTTCTCTTTGATTTTCGGGGTGTCTTTGAATTCAGCCCTCTGTAGGTTGATAATTTTCATTTTCATCAAACGATGGGGCTTCCTTACATTTCTAACACATTACCCAGTCCATATCAGTATAGATATCCAGCATGAGATTTTTCCACATTAAGATCTGATGTGGGTTTAGTAGCACTCTAAATAAGTATGCTCATTAGGAGAGCTTACGTCACTTCAAAGTTTCCAATCTGCTAGTTCTAGTTTTATTAAGGTCCATTCCCCCGCTGTAGTAAAGCATGCATTATAGCGCATGTTAGGTGCCTAAAGCTGGCCAAACATGGATCAAAATTTGGCTGGTTCAGCAGGGACCGAATTTCGGTCCATGTATGGCCTAGCTGCTTGTACACAAGTCAATCTATCATTTGACTTGTGTGCAACAAGCCTGTTGGGATTTTTACACTGATTTGTGTGTATCCAGATGGTAAGAAAGCCTGCCTAGTGTCAGAATAGAATACCACAGCAGGAGTGACTCCCCCATCCACACATTCGACTCACTGGTTGAACGGAAAAAAAAAATAAAATAATCATGTATGGCCAGCATAAGTGTGTTGCAATGCAATTCATTTTCAATTACACCCCAATGCACAAGGGAACATGCAAACCTTATGTTGCAGTGCACTGCAACACATGGTGCCTCACTATCATGTGCTGTGTGTTGCCAAAAACAGTACATGTCCATTTTTTTAAGGCCAACCCATTTATTAAATGGATTGCCTTAATTCTATGTGTATGACAGCATGCTAAAATGAATGTTAGTGCACGTTTGTTTACGCAATGCACTAGGGTGCCAAGGTATAAATGGGCCCTTTAAGTTAAAGACAGACAGGCATTTAGTAATTTCATGAAACAGTCAGCAATGCCAGCCTCCATATTCCTCCCAATGCAGATTTTTTTTAATTTTACTGTTAACGATATGTCTGTTATATTATTATTATTATTATATATTTTCTGAATGCAAAAGCCCTAGAGAACAAAATAATGGCTGTTGCAATTTGTTATGTCACATAATATTTGCGCAGCAGTTTATCAAATGCAAGTTTTAAGGAAAAAAAAAACAATTGAACAGATTTTAGAACACACAAACACAATATGATAACCAATTTTTTTTGTAAAATAAAAAAGGTGATATTAGGCCGAGTAAATAGGTACAGTGACTGGAAAAAGTATTCATACCCCTTGAAATTTTCCACATTTTGTCATGTTACAACCAAAAATGTAAATCTATTTTATTGGGATTGTTTGTGATAGACCAACACAAAGTGGCACATAATTGAGAAGTTGAAGGAAAATAATAAATGATTTTCAAAATTTTTACAAATAAATATCTGAAAAGTGTGGCTTGGATTTGTATTCAGCCACCCTGGGTCAATACTTTGTAGCACCACCTTTTCCTGCAATTACAGCTGCAAGTCTTTTTGGGGATGTCTCTACCAACTTTGCACATCTACAGAGTGACATTTTTGCCCATTCTTCTTTGCAAAATAGCTCAAGCTCTGTCAGATTGGATGGAGAGCATCTGTGAACAGCAATTTTCAAGTCTGGCCACAGATTCTCAATTGGATTTAGGTTTGGACTTTGGGCCATTTTAACACATGAATATACTTTGATCTAAACCATTCTGTTGTAGCTCTGGCTGTATGTTTAGGGTCGTTGTCCTGCTGGAAGGTGAACCTCTGCCCCAGTCTCAAGTCTTTTGCAGACTCTAACCAGTTTTCTTAAAAGAGCCGAAGATGTTGGCTTGGTCATGTCATTAGCTGTGACCAATCACAGCTGATCATATGTAAACAGGGAAATGCCGGTAGGGGAGAGCCAGTAATCGGCATTCCTCGGAGGGGACATGTACACAGATCATAAGAGCACTGATGATCAGTGTGCCCTGTTGATCTGTGTAGTCCCAGCAGTGCCACATTTCAGTGCCCATCAGTGCCACATCAATGCCACATATCAGTGCCCATCTGAGCTGCCTTTCAGTGCCACCTATCAATGCCAGTCAGTGCCACCTATCAATGCCAGTCAGTGCCACCTATCAGTGCCAGTCAGTGCAGCCTATCAGTGTTCATCAGTACCGCCTATCAGTGCCCGTCAGTGCTGCCTAACAGTGCCAGTTAGTGCTGCCTATCAGTGCCATATATGAGTGCTGCCTTTCAGTGCCCATCAGTGATGCCTGTCAATGCCCATCAGTGCCACCTACCAGTGCCTCCTCATCAGTGCAGCCTATCAGTGCCCATCACTGCAGCCTCATTAGTGCACATCAGTGAAGGAGAAAAATCACTTATTTACAAAATTGTATAACAAAAACTAAGACATTTTTCAAATTTTTTTGTGGTTTTTGGTTTGTTTAAGAAAAAGTAAAAAAACCCAGAGGTGATTAAATACCACCAAAATAAAGCTCTATCTGTCACAAAAAAATGATAAAAATGTCATATGGGTACAGTGTTGCATGACTGCGCAATTGTCATTCAAAGTGCAACAGTGCTGAAAGCTGGAAATTGGCCTGGGCAGGAAGGGGGTATAAGTGTCCTGTAGGCTAGTGGTTAAAATTGTGCATGCCTGTGGAATGGTGACAAACTACGGTACATTAAATTATACATAAATAAATAAATACGTACGGCGGTCGGAAAGCAGTTAAATAAAATGAATAAAAGGGGATAGTTGAAAGCACTCCTTGCAACTAATTATTGTTCAGAGCTAAGTTTTGGTGAGTAAAGATTTTTCATCTTCAAAAGGACAACCAAAAGGATGTTCCCATTGCTTTGGATTCTAGTGCACAATGAGATATTTCCATTATTATAGAAGAAGAAATCACGGAGCTCTCTAGCTATGCTAGAATGAAGCTATATACAGTACATTCTGCAACAGTGAAAGCTGAATTTTGACTGCTTATGCTTTGTATCTGCATTCCTGTGTAAGACTGATTTACCCTACGTATCCTGGAAAGTTTATTACAAGGAAAGTTGTAGAGAAGAAACAGTTGTTTCAGTTGCTTCATAGAATTTTTAAGAGCATTGGACAGCTTCTCGCTCCCTTTGTATGAGAAGTTACACAAAGATTTTTAAAATAGTTTGTTTCCAAAATTATTCCTAAAATTACAAACAAAAAAATGACCTCTTACCTGCGCTCCCACTCATATCTGCATATATTTTAATTTCAAGTAGCAAGTCAATTCAGAACAGCAAAAGTTCCTGTTGGCTCAGTAAATTGCAGGCAGTGACTGTTATATCTTAGGGCACACAGTGACACGCCCCATACAGGCGTTGGCAGGAAGGTGTATGGACTATGGTAGCAACCCTGTTCTTTACTGCAGTAATAAAGCCAAACCACAGATAGGACATGCACAATTCATGAAAAGAGAGCAACAGAAATAAATATACTTATGAGGGTGTGGATGCACATGTGTGTTTACTAAAACGACAGCCCTTTGCACAGTCAGGTCTCAGCTATAAGTCCTTAAAGGGAAAGCATAGTGCAGTTTCAGTAAGTAGATATTTCATTTATTAGTACAGTATTTAGTGGAAATGCTAAGATTCACTTTTTCACATGCTGTTTTTTTTATTTTATTATTGTCATTAAAAGTAGAGATTTATAGATCAGGAAACAGAGGGAACTCTGTATTCCAGTAACTCTCCACATTATGTCATGTTCTTTTAATGGACTATTGAAATGCAATCCATGCTCCGCAAAACAGCAGGACATCCAAGGATATTGATCTATGTAGGGACTCTGGTATGATAGTCTTACAATGTATTTGGCGGCTCATTTGGGCCAGTCCATTGGTCCTGGGAAGGGACTACCATTATCACTCCCTGAGTGGTAGCGGACGGGAAGACAAGTCACAGTCCGCCATGTGACATTTTGTCAATTTTAATTGCCCGTTCCCTAGACTGATGACTTGTCATGTAATACATGAACCAAGATCAAGTGCATGAATGGCAGTGGGACTGAGTGGGTGTGCTGGGCCCGAGCTTTTGTCATTCAAGGTGATAATGTTATCAGACCTTGTTTTAATGATGATTGAAGGTCATTTTGACCAATTTTACAATAATTTTTTATCTCAGTAACGGAGTAATTGTTTTGTTACACTGCAGTTGGTCTTCCTTTAACCCCTTGACACCGACGGCACACAAATATGCGGCCTCGTGGAACTGGGCTTTTTCCCATGGGGCCGCATATTTGCGTACCTGTCTTTGTGCTGGGCGCGCTCCCAGCACAGAGACCACGGTGTCACTGAGAGCACCTGGTCCCATTCTAACGATTGGGACCAGGGACTCCGATTCCGGGTCACGTGATTGCTGTGATAGCCTCTGATTGGCTATCACAGTGATCAGTCACTGCGCAGCCCGGCCCCCTTGTTTTTTCTCTCTCTATGAATGGAGAAGAGAGATACATTGTATCTCTCTAACTCTTGGCATAGAGAGAAAAAAAATGTTTGTAAAAAAAAAAAAAAAAAGAAAAAAAAAGATAAATATTAAAAAAATAAAATAAAAAATAAAGAAAAATACCTAGATCAAGGTTTGATCTAGTTCAGTGCCAGGGTTAGTGTTTGGGTCAAGGTCAGGGTCAGAGGTCAGGATTTAAAAAAAAAAAATTGGTGTCAGTTAGTGTTAATGTCAGCATCAGTGTGTTTTAGGTAGAAAGAAAAGGCAAAAACAAAATGTGCACTATTGTTTCTGGTCTGTACTACGGGTACAAACAACAAATAACGCACACATATATGGTATTGCTGCGATCGTCAAGTGCTGGAGAATTTATTTTGGGTTGTTCGTTGGTGGTAGGTTATGGTTGTAACAAGAAAAACAGCTAAATAAAAAAAATGATTTTTTTTTACTACTTTTGGGTCAGTTTTCCTTTGATAATAAAAATTAGGAGCTATCCATTACCATTTACCGCCAAATGAAAGCCCAATTTGTCCTGAAAAAATCAAGGAATAATCCACCTGGATGTACAGAGTAGTTGTGATGATATGTACAGTTCTACTATCACATGTCAACGTTGCAGAATTGTGCTTAGGCATTTAGATTTGTTTTACCCTTAGGCGTGAAGGGGTTAAAGCCTCTCAAGGGGTGGATTCTCTTGGTCCCCCATATTTTTTTTTTCTAACTCTGTGTTCCACTATCATCAAATACTGTGCTTAACAATTAATCTGTGCATTGGTTTCAGTTAGGTTGGCCATACACGTTGTGGCTGAACGACACAAAATTGTTTGGTCAGTATATTTTTTTTTGTTTTAATGTATATTTCTAACTTTTTCATCAAATAAATTAATGTAATTGTAAACCCATATTTTTCTTTTTTTAAATAACAAACATGTCATACTTACTTTTCCTGTGCAATGGTTTTGCAAAGAGCAGCCCCGATCCTCCTCTTCTTGGGTCCCCCCCCGCAGGCGCTCCTGCCTTCTCTGCCCCTGCCAAGTGCCCACCATAGAAAGATGCTTGCTATGGGGGCCTCATGTGGGCTCACTCCCAGGCTGCACGCTGTGTGCCCCATCCCTGCTCCCTGGCTGTGATTGACAGCAGCAGGAGACAATGGCTCCTGCTGCTGTCTCTGAGCCAATAAGGAGGAAGAGAGAAGAGAGAGCCGCTGCACTCGTGCACAGCGCTGGATCAAGATCAGGCTCAGGTAAGTATAAGGAGATGGGGGGGGGGGGGAATAGTAGGCTGAGAGATAAGCTGCACTCATAGGTTTTTTTTTTTTTTACCTTAATGAAGAGAATGCATTAAGGTAAATACCTTCAGCCTTTAGAACCACTTTAGGTACGAACAAGTCACATACAGGTGACAAATAAAGAAGAAATAGAACAAGTCTTCTGTTAAGAGGATTCTGTACAATAAACCGTCTATCACACTCCATACTAAGTAGAATATACTACTTTGAACAGTCCTTTTTTAACCACGGTGCCTTGGCCAAATGCCTAAAATTACCCCAAATTGCCCAAAAATTGTCCACAAGCCAGCAAGTGGATCAAACCTGATTTTCTGTGACACAAAGCCATAGGTTTTCATTATGCAGCATTACAACCAGCTGCTAGTGTCCTAACAGCCAATAACATCATCATATGAGAAGAAGCACATTGGGTGCTCCTTTTTTTCCATTCCCCTCTGTTACCGCTGCGGTCACATTTAGCTGAGTGAAAAAGAAAACCTGAGGGAGAAGAGAAACACTGGTGTACTAGTCAATACCAGTATGCAAAGGTGTATTTGCTTTGTAAGGTTAAATCACCTCAAGATCAAGTGTGCTACGTGTGTGGATGTTGATTTGTTATATAAAACTGTTAGTATAGTTTTTTACATTTGAAAATTGGGTTCCTTGAGATTGTGCAGAATTTTAATGGGTGCTGCAAATGAAAAAAAGGTTCAAAAACACTTCAGTGCATTTATGAGAAATGAACTAGCAAGGTTAGCCAAAGGTTAGGTCCCCCATACAAGCTTCAAAAAACTGACCAAGTTAGGCTGGCCATACATTACACAATTTTCCTGAGATTTTTGCTTTAGATTTACCAAAAACCATATAATAGGAGGTCAAACCTAAACAACACTTTCAATTGTATCCAATTAAGCAGGCCCTTGCACTACATAGTTGAAGGTAAATTTAAAGGAAATTGGGCAGAAAACTGTAAGAAAATTGTATAGTGTATGGCCAGCCATAATGAAAATAATAGGAGGAAATTGCAGAAGACTGCCAAAAAGGAAAATACAACAGTCAGGAATGATAGGTAAAAAAAAAAAAAAAAAAAAAAAAATCACTCAAGTGTGCACAGCACAAGGTAAATTAGCCCTTGTTAAGGAGTAAGAAGGTGTCCCAAGTATTTCAAACAGCATATCATTTATCCAATAAGTTTTGTGTATTATGGGGGGGGGGGGGGGGTAGGTAAATCTCTGTAAGGATGTATCATAGCAATTTTTAATTTTTTTTTTCCATACCTTGGATTAGAAGGCCTTAAAAAGTGTGTTAAGGTTTCAAGGGGTTTCAATGTCTCAGCTAGTTTAGAAAGCAGGGAGTTGACTTTTCCCCAAAAGGATGCAATACTAGAGCAAGGCCACAGAATATGGTATAAAGAATCCACTTCTGACTGTCATTTTCAACAAAGAATGCCAGCAGCGGGGTAGATGTAGTGCAGAAGCTCCAAGGTGTAATACCAGCACATCAACATTTTGTATGCATTTTCTTTGTAGGTTGTGCATATGGAACTCTTATAAGTTTGAGACCAAAGTGTCTGCCAGATCTCCAGGGAAAGCTCACGTGTCAGCACCTTTTCCCATTTCAACATACTGTACAGTATAAATATGTTTAGGAAATGGATCCTCCAAAAGTGTGTTCAGAGTTTTATATACTGTATATCAGAGATTAAAGTTTTTCTAGAAGGCTCTTTTACACACTTTCTCAAGGTGGTAATGCTGGGAAAATGCAAGATCTTTTGTAAAAGACTGGTCAAAGTGTCCGATTTGGAGATCGCTATAAAAAGAAAAAGGGGGATAACCTGCCCTCAATGAGGTTTGAAAAGTTAAAAAAAAAAAAAATCAAACCATTATGCCCAAAAAAGGAAGTCAGCAGTAATTTCATGGGTTTAAGGTGAAATTTATCATGACTGCCTCTCCAAATAGATTTGGTAAATTGCATTGGTGCAAGGAGTGCAGAGTCTGAAATCATATACTCCGAACGCCAAAGGAAAGAGTTAAAGTGCTAGGAGCCAACCATAGTTTCTCAAGTTTTGTTCAAAATTGATAAGACCAAAGCATTGCCCAAGCCTAATGTTGTAGATGGACAGAATAATATTTTGCTATATCTGTAACTCCCAGTCCCTCTTCAGTGAACAGAGCAGCTTCTTAGAGAGTATAATATGAAGTGAATACTTGTGAGCTACTAAAGTGGTATTATAAAACAATATAGGTGACTAACTACTGTGAATGTGGTGGTGCATCAACACTAATACACACTCATAAAACTGTGTAGATTAAACAATTAACAAATAATAAATGTGTTGCGCTCCACCTACTGAAAAACTAAAAAGATATAAATATTATATTGTAGTAATCCTCCCTCTCAAACGTGCATCCGTGCACAAACCTAATATGTGCAAATAATGATAAATACAACTATAGATGAATAAAAAATTCATCTATAATTAGCCCCTGGGGAGGGGCTCTGACGTCACCTTCAGCAGAATGGCGAGTACTGTCACTGTGCACGAGCACATACTGAGGCAAAAACGCGATATATTTTTATATTTAATGTGAGTGCGCACTGTTTTGGATCTAATAAAATTTTACAAAAAGTTAAGGCACTATGGGAGAATTTCTCTTTTCCATGTATTAACCTGGAGGAACAAAGGGAAGAAGAGGAAATAGGAGATAGACCCCTGCAGGATGAGGGGAGAAATCCTCATCCATCCTATATTCACAGCCCAGAAGGGAGATTGGGAGCCTCCCAGTGGAAGGAGAATATTATTACAGTCCATTTTAACACCATTTATATACAGGATTATAGTATGGATGTCCACATCATGTCCAGTTAAGGACAAAAAGCCTATATAGCCTTGCTTAACAGTTGGGCTATATAGTGAGGTGAGCATATATAATTCTCAGCACAGCAAGATTATAAAGAGGACTTTTTTCCTTTTTTTTTTATCACATATATATATTTTTATATATCACCAATTCTATATCACGTTTGTGTTTCATTTCACTTGCACTATTCATTTATAATAGTGATATCATGTTTATGGAATTATAAAAAATAGAGATTTTTTTTTTAAATTATCTATTTAACCAATTTATAAGTAACTTAGTTTAATTACACATTAACTATAGCACTTAGGTGTTCACATTTATTCATTTATCATTAATCAACACTAATTATTTAATTTTTATTTATTCAATTTTTATTTAATTTTTGATTCATCTATAGTTGTATTTATCATTATTTGCACATATTAGGTTTGGCACGGATGCACATTTGAGAGGGAGGATTACTACAATATAATATTTATATCTTTTTAGTTTTTCAGTAGGTGGAGCGTGGCACATATTTATTAATTATTTGTTAATAGCTTCTTAGAGAGTATTTCATGGAAGCACTGTGTGTCCCAGGCTCATGTGAACTGTAACAATTCAGCAGGATTTTTACAAACTGACCTATAAGCCTTTCTGTACCTACAGTTGTTTTCACAAGTTTGCATATCCTTGGAGAACTGGTAATAGGATGTACCATGAGTGAGCACTTTTATTTCTTATGGGATTCATATTCAACTGTAGGTCATAATAAAATGGCACAATCATAAAAAACATGGCACCAAGTAAACAATTGAAATGACCCGTTCAAAAGTCTGCATACCCTTAGTATTAGTTCTTAATACCATGTATTTTCCCCTTTTGGCATCAATGACCACGTGTGTAGTCTTTTGTAATAGTTGTCATTATGAAGCCCCAAATTCTTGCAGGTAGTATATAGCTGCCCATTCATCTTGGCAACAAGTCTCCAGGTCATGCAAAATTTTTGGTTATCTTCCATGAACCACGTTTGAAATCTCCCAGGAGTAGCTTGATATGAAGGTCAGGAGACTGATAGCCACTTCAGAACCTTCACCTTTTTCTGCAGTAACCACTGGAGGATCAATTTGGCCTTGTGCTTAGGGTCATTGTCATGTTGGTACATCCAAGAGCGTTCCAACACAGCTTTTGTGCAGAAGAATGAAAATTGACAGTATTTTTTGATAACAGGCTGCATTCATCTTGTCATCAATTTTCACAAGGTTCCCTGTGCCTTTAGAACTCACACACCCCAATACATCAGTGAGCCACGACCATACTTCACAGTGGGGATGGCATTCTTGGCCCTGTTGACCCTTCTCCAAATATAGTGCTTATGATTGTGACCATAAAGCTCTATTTTGGTCTCGTCACTCGAGACTAGTGTGTCAGAAGCTGTGAAGCATGTTAGGATGTTGTCAGGCATATTGTAACCAAGTTTTTTTGTGGCATTGACACAGTAAGGGCTACTCTCTGGCAATTCGACCATTCAGCTAATTTTTGTTCAAGTATCGTCATATTGTGCTCCTTGAAACAGCCATACCAATTTTTTTCCAGAGCAGCCTGTTATTCTCTTGAGGTTACCTGTGGGTATTCCTTTGTAGCCCGAAAAATTCTTAAAATTTCAAATTAAAAAGTTTTGGCTATAATTTAAAATCGCTATTGCTTACAGTGCTCATACATAAATGTCTCTGCACTCAAGTAGCACTTGTAAAATTTAAAGAAGTTCTGCAGCTGTCTTTAGCTAAAATTACCCAACGAAATAAAAATCTGTATATTTGCCAATATATTACAGGAATAAAAAGTTTTGCTAAAATAATCACAAGAATCCAATTTTTTAAAATTTACACACAAAATAAAATTCTATTGTACATTCCAGCATCTGTGTGCTAGTACACTCATTGAGTGGTCAGGATCTTGTGAGTCAATATGATTGTAACCTTTGCTGAAATCCTGTTTCTAACAATATACCCCGATGTACTCTGAAAACTCTACTCCTGGAGACAAATTATTGATTCAGCTCAATGCAGAGCAGGCCTTCTACCTTTAAAGCACCCTGTTGTGATGTCCAGAAACAGCTTTTAGCATGCATAGATGTAAACACAGGACCAGGCCATGCTGCTAGAAGCAGGATTAATTTTCAGGAAATGTAACCCAGCATAAAGCCATTTTACAACAGGCTGCAAGGACAAGTTGAACTGGATTATGTCTAATGAAAGCAAAGTTACACTTTTAAAAACTGGGCACATTTTTTTTAGTTTAATAAAGCCACAATGTTCAAGCCATTGGGACTTTAGCTATTGTCAAGTTCGTTACTACATTTTCCACAATAAAAAAAGGGCAATCAGATTTAGGTTTAGGCAGTGACTTTAATATCCAACAATTCATTAGCATGTTCAACTATACGCATAAAAAAACTGCAATAACATATTTTAAATATTTTATTACAAAATCATTTAGGCTGCCATTCTTAACTAATTCCCGTGGCCATCAAATCTTACTGTATATCATGTTTTCGGAAACAGCACTTAAAAAAAAAAAAAAAAAAAAAAAAAAAGAAGGGAAGAAGGGTGCTTCAATGGAGGTTTAAAAAATAGAGGTTATTGCTTGGAAACACATACATGTTGTAAGAATGTGTCTGGCAACCTGACAAATGTCTATTGAGGAGTCAAGGGAAAAAAAGAATAAAACTACAAAAGAAGTCCGTGGGTTTCCTGAGTACACTAAAGCTATTTTAGAAAAGGGCACAAGAACAGAATGAAAGGTCTGTAACAGGCTAAGGGCACTTTCTCTCCACACACTGCTTTCCTCCTTCTTCATATTCCTGTTTGGAAATCCACATCTGTTGAAAGGTTCCCTGTTTAAAAATCAACAATTAGTCAAAATGAAAGTAACATAATTTATGTATATATAGTCAAAACTGCAGTGTGCCGCTTTTAGGGAACAATACACACTAAGCTTGGAGTTTCTTTTTCTATATTTCAGAAGTGGTCTGACAGGTATAATGCCAACCATAGACAAGGCATATACAGTGTATTCAGAAAATATTCAGTCCCCCTTCACATTTTTAAATTTTATGGTGCAGCCTGATACTACAGTTGTTGTTTCTCATTAACCCCTTCACGCTGGCGCCTTCCAGCCCTTTAAGAGATTCAGAAGTCGGGAGGCGGGGTGGGGTTTAGGGGCATGTGACCGCCGGGACGGTGTCACGTGATCAGGAAAGGTCTCGATTGAAAGAGGAGATCAGGACCTTTCTGCGAGTACCGGACATGTGTGCTGAAAGCGTGTCCTTTTTTAATAGAACACAAATGTGCGACCGCTCGGCGTCTAGGCTCAGGCGCCGGGGGGGGGGCGCACATTTGCGTTCAGCTGGCGTGAAGAGGTTAATCTACACTCAGTAACCCAAAATGACAAAGTGAAAAAAGAATTGTAGAAATGTTTGCAAAATTTATGAAAAAGGAAACATTTAAATATCATATTGGCATAAGTATTCAGACCCGTTGCAATAACACTTAAAATTTTGGCTCAGGTGCCTCCCATTTCTCTTGATCGTTGTTGGGATGTTTCTACACCTTGATTGGAGTTTACTTGTGGTAAATTAACTTGATTGGACATGTTTGGAAAGACACACACCTCTCTATAAAAAGGTCTTACAGATGACATTGCATACTGTATCAGAACAAAAAGCCATGAAGTCGAAGGAACTGCCTGCAGCGCTCAGACACAATTAATGAAAGGCACAGATCTGGGAAAGGCTAGAAACATCTCAACAACGATCAAGAGAAATGGGAGGCACCGGTGCTAAATTTCAAGTGTTGTTGCAAAGGTTCTGAATACTTATGTGAAATTTCAGTTTTCTATTTTTCATAAATTTCCAAACATTTCTAAAAAAAAAAAATGGAAAAAAGGAAAGGAAAAAAATGAATTTAAACAATAGTATCAGGCTACATCATACACAAAATTGAAAAAAGTGAAAGGGGTCTAAATACACTGTACATTGGCTGCCTGCCACAAACATGTATTCTTGGCTTAGTTGCTCCAGAAGCCGCTTTCACCCTGGGTCTCGCTCTCCAAAATTTTGCATGGTGGAACAATAAAGGATTGCTACGCATTGCAGACTTGTGCGATGGCTTGCGGTGGGGTGGGGTTTAAGGCAATTTCTGCAGGTGAAATACCAATTGCCTCATACAGAACTCTATTACTACCCCCAAATAACATTTCCTGGCTTCTCTAAAATGCATGTCAGATAAAACTTCTACTTCAATGGGGTATACACAGGGGCTTTGGCAAACACTCAGGCCATATCTGTAAGATCTATTCCATACTTACCTCTACCTCCAATAAGTTGTATTATATGCAAAAATGGGAACATGATATAGGGGAGTCATTTGAATTGGAAGATATGGCACAGTACACCTCCAAGACACTTGTCAAAACTTAACAGAAGCAAATTATAAAATGTTTTTGCGGTGGTATATGGGTCAGATGTGAGTGGCTTCCTGTGTCCTGGGGGCCTGCTCCTAAGGCTTTAGAAGTTTCGGACAGCAAGGTACAGCCTTTCACTTGTGGTGGACATGTCCAAAAGTTAAAAGGTTTTTTTGATGCATGCTATAAATTTAATTTACTCTGTTACCCAAGAAAACCTCCAAAAATTCCCACTTCAGGCACTACTGGGTTGCCCAGTGGAAGTATACCAGGACACAAAGAATGAGAACATTTATTTTTGTAGCAGCAAGAATTGCTATTACTGGATTTTTGTGGTCTCCCACGATTCTGTTTCAACTGTTGAAAGCCAAACGTTTGTGAATAATGGTTACTGTACGCCTCTTGGCAATCTTGCATGAAAAAAATAGCATTTTCTGAGAAGATATGGGATCCCTGGATCAAATACATATCTGGTATCACTTGAATATCTTGTATGAATGTCTAACTCAATTGGTGGGGGTGTTTTCTGTCTCCAATCTCCCCCTTTTTTTTCCCTCCTCTCTCATGTCCAGTTGGCACTTACTTTAAATCATTCTCCTGACTACTGGGAACGTCATCCAACTGTACTTGCAGCGAACAAGAGCTTGAGGCTCCCGGGCTGAGTTTCTAGCTAAATTTGATTCTCCCAGGAGTTTGGGCATCTAAAGTTATAACAAGATTTGCTTGTGCATCATAAGTTGTCTTGTTTTAATGCCTTCTGGTCTCCCGCCGGCACTCCTGGCCCCTCCCTCCTGTTGGGTGCCCCCATAGCAAGCAGCTTGCTATGGAGGTACCCGAGAAGGCATGCTCCCAAGCTGCAGCTCTGCGTGTCCATTCACACATAGAGCTGAAATTGAACCCCGCTGCCTCCCTCTCCTGATTGGCTCACTGGCTGACAGCTGCGGGAGCCAGTGGCTCCCACTGCTGCCTCAGCCAATCATCAGTGATTGAGAACGGAGGCTTTCGTGGACATTGCTGGATTGGGATGGGGCTCAGGAGAGAAAGGAGAAAGCTTGTTTTCTTTGAAAAATCCTAAAACAGAAGGAGCATTTTCAATGAAATATATATACTAACACATTATATGTATGTGACAAAAGTGTATGCATATTCCAGAATATTTTAAGAAAGCCACCAAATGCTTTTGATCCTAAGCATAAGAAGAAAGCCCATCTGTGGAATAAACCCACCAGTCTCCAATCAATCACTCACCAGAGAAGCAAGGATAGAACCACCAATCCATGAACTAAACCGCCTTTCAACTGTTGTGTTGTTTGCAATCAACTTTAACCTCATGCTCTGGGGGGAAGAAAAAGTAATAATGTAATATTTTAAATTTATTTGAATTTTTAGTTAATTTAAAAATCTACAAAAAATTTTACAATAACGGGAGGTGAAAACCCCAATCAGCCCAACCAACCTTCTAATTTGAAACATTTGACAAGATAATACAGATTCTTATCTACTGAGATCATCATAGTTCAACTACTAAAGCTGGCCATGGGCTGAAACTCAACTGGATCAACAGGGAATTTCAATCCATGTAGGGGTTAGGCTGAATGTACAGAAGTCTATTTGCCTATCTAATTTTGTACAACCAGCCTGTTGAATTTTACCCGCTCAGTGTATTCTGATGACGGGGACGTCGCCTTGTAACTCAGCATGATTAATTATCACCTGCACATTTAGCGTGTGGATGAGGATTCTGGTAACCCTGACAATTATCTGTAGCTAGTTGCTAAATTAATGCATTGAAAAGAAATGTTAATTTTGTTAGTCATAAACTAACAGACACGTTCAGAGTGAAATTTAAAAAAGTTATTTTTATAAAAAAAAAAAAATACAGTACACTTTGTATAGCAACAGACTATATCTTACATAAGACACACACACTATATATACGCCTTCCTTTACATACACATGTAACTATGTCCTTAGGGTTCAATATTGAGTTGGCCCACCTTTTGCCTTAACAGCTTCAACTCTTCTGGGAAGGCTGTCCACAAGGTTTAAGAGTGTATCTATGGGAATGTTTGACCATTCTTCCAGAAGTGCATTTGTGAGGTCAGGCACGGATGTCAGATGAGAAGGCCTGGCTCGCAGTCTTTGCTCTAATTCGTCCCAAAGGTGTTCTATGGGGTTGAAGTCAGGACTCTGAAGGCCAGTCAAGTTCCTCCACCCCAAACTCGCTCATCCATGTCTTTTTGGACCTTGCTTTTGTGCACTGGTGCACAGTCATGTTGGAACAGGAAGAGGCCACCCCCAAAACTGTTCCCACAAAGCTTGGAGCATGGAATTATCTAAAATGTCTTGGTATGCAAACGTCTTAAGAGTTCCCTTCACTGGAACTAAGGGGCCAAGCCCAACCCCTGAAAAAACAACTCCACATCATAATCCCCCCTCCACCAATCTTTACACTTGGCACAATGCAGTCATGCAAGTACCGTTCCCATGGCAACTACCAAACCCAGACACTTCCATCGGATTCCCAGACAGAGAAGAGCTATTCGTCACTCCAGAGAACATGTCTCCACTGCTCTAGAGTCCAGTGGTGACGTGCTTTACTCCACTGCATCCAATTTGCACTGCACTTGGTGATGTAAGGCTTGGATGCAGCTGCACGGCCATGGAAACCCATTCCATGCAGCTCTCTACACACTGTTGTGCTAATCTGAAGGCCACATGAAGGAATCTGAAGGCCATGGACTCTGCAGACAGTTGGCGACATATATATATATATATATATATATATATATATATATACACACACACACACACACACACACAAACTTCACACAAACCGAGCAGGTGAGCCACCTAATGAGTTTCTTCTGGGTGCCTCCAGCAATACGCAAGACTGGTCCCAACAGTCCACAACATAGTAAATGATTCAATGCTGCCACACACCTTTTCTTGCAAAGGTTATATCTTATTTATAAAAGTATTCCATCTTCAGTAAACAGATTGTTTACTGAAGATGTAATTTTAGTAAGATAAGGTTTGCATACAGTACCATGCAAACGTTTTAGGCAGAAATGCTGTAGAGCAATACGTTCAGAAATATATATTTTAATTGTTTAGATCTATCAATTTACAAAATGCAAAGTAAGCAAACAGAAGAAAAATCTAAATCAAATATTTGGGGTGACTACCTTTGCTTTCAAACCAGTATCAATTCGTACACTTGCACAAACTCAAGGATTTTGTAGGATTAGTGTCAGGTGTATGATTAACCAATTATACCAAGCAAGTACTAATGATCATCAATTTCATATGTGGGCTTAAATACAGTTATTAACTGAAAAAACAAAAAAACAGCTGTGTAGGAGGCATTAAACTGTGCGAGGAACAGCCAAACTCTGTGGTGAGGTGAGGCTGTGGAAGAAATTTTCATGTTCAAGACTGAACACAGCAACAAGACACAAGGAAGTTATCCTGCATTATCAAGGTCTCTTCCAGGCAGAGATTTCAAAGAAGACTGGGGTTTTAAAATGTGCTGAAGGATGAAGAAACTAGCATTATTGAGGACTGCGGATGTAGTGGTCTGCCAAAGAATTCTAAAGTGTTTCTAAACCCAGGACCCCGCATTCACTATATCTGGTCTCCCTCAGTACACAGAAGATGGAAATGAAATTACTTTATATTTACTAAACTGCTTGAGGGTTAGGGACTGTTGTGAATGTACAATATATATGTAAAGCGCTGCGTACATTTACGGCGCTATATAAGCACCTGAAAGTAGAAGAAATACCTTTTCTAGTCAGCAATTAGAGCAGTCATGTGACTTCTATCAGTGTCCAGCTTAATACATGTTAAAGCTAATAGAACAAGTTGTAATTTTGCTCTAGGAGGATGCAGGGCCCCTGACCTTTCTGGGCAGTGCTAACTGGCTTTGTGCTGATCACATGCACTCTCCCAAGAAAAAAAAAAAACCTCTCTACACAAATACACAAACTGAACATGTGCAGATTGACTCCACATTATGTCTTATTGGGAGATAAAAGGGGGACACTGCAAGAAGGGGAGGATCAGAGAAGTCAGGATCAATTAGCTTTTTTACACAATGCAGAGGATTAACCCCTTAGGTTCCACGGTGAGTATAACAGGCATGCTTTACTGCATATACAGATTGGTTTTACTGTTGTGGGTTTAGTAACACTTTAATGCAGCAGTGTCATCAGCAAAGAATTGAGGGAAACCAGTAGGACCCAGGTACACCCATCAATTGTCCAAAAAGGTCTGGCCAGAAGTGGTCTTCATGGAAGAACTGCAGAGAAAAAAGCCATACCTCCCAACGTGGAAACAAGGCTAAGCGACTCCACTATGCATGAAAACATAGGAAAAATGATAAAAACAAAAACTAAGAACACTTCTATTTCTGAAAGCATTCTTAAATTAGAACATTTTTCACTCCCTCTTAAAACGTTTGCACAGCAATATTTATATACACACACAATTTTAAACACTTTCCCATTTACTTGAACATTTAAAAAAAAAAAAAGAAAAAAGGGGGGGGGTTGGTATTATAGTCCTAATGTAGCAGGAAATGAAAAAAGACAAAGTTCAACCATGGCTCCTTCCATAATAACAGTGCAGGAAAAACATAACCACCACAAAGCAGGATCTGCAGGGAAAAAAGCCCCCACAACTTACATACCGGAGGGGTTTTCTGTGAGAGTTCTCTTGTAAGCCTGTCTGTAAATCCTTGTAATAATGTATTTCCTCCTGCTACAATCACGCTCCCATACAATCCCTGTTCAAAATAGAAAAACATTTGCATTCTAAAATGTATTATTATTATTATTATACAGGATTTAAACGGTTTGCGCAATGATTTACAATATAAATGTAATCATTTTGGTCACAAACAACTGAACAGTAGTAATGTACTCAATTTGCTTGAAGTCCATCGTTATCAATGTATGAAGGGGTATAAAAAAGTTTTTACTCTTGCATATCTGCTGTTCATGTGAATAATAATAACCTGCCTGATGTAGGTCTCATAAATATGGTCTAACGCCACCATTGTGTGCTTTCGTTTTTTATATTGTACACAACTGAATCATGGATGAAAGGTTCAGACAAAAACAGTGATTGGGTTTCTGATAAAATATGGTTATTTGGCTGTTAGGCATTAGGTAAATAACCTAAAAAAAAAAGTGAGAACATGAAATTGCTGACAAGCTAAGGAGTGGTTGCCCATCAACTTCAGTCACCAATGGTTAATGGGCTCATTTGAGGAAAAAAAAAAAAAAAAAAAAAAAGACATCTGGGAAGACAAAGGCATAATTCATGTGGACTTTTTGGATAAAGGTGCAACAGTCAACACTGAAACCTACACTGGTACACTTCAATTCCCCCTGATGAAGCCACGTGACCGGTGGCGTAACGCGTAGGGGAGGGGCTCTGACGTCATCACGCTAAGTCGGCTTGTCACGGCGAGTACGAGATTTGTGCTGAGCACACACAAAGTTTGATAAGGCGCATTTTATTTGTTAAATATGTGAGTGGGATTACTGGCTATATAAATAAAGGTTTTTAAAGGATAAGGCACTATCTTTTGCTTTTCTTTTGTTATCATGTATGTGGTGACCCCTGGAGGTGAGAAGGGGAAATCCATCCATCCTTATACCACCATAAGAAACCACACACTGGAGAGACATCAGGTGGATAATTAGCAAATTGCAGTGTGGAACCATCTGGGAAGGAGTTCAGGAGTAGCAGTATTTGCATCTGTCCCTATAGGACAAACAGCTATTTCAGCCTATAATAAGTAGGCAAATAAGGAGGTAAGCGCATAATAGAGGAACAATTATCCTGAAGCCGTCTTATGGGTTGGAACAAATCCATGTATTAATATTGGAGAACTATTCATTTAAATATCATTTTGGACACTCGATGTGATATATTGTTTTTGTTTTATGGGATTGGATAATTATATTGTTTTGGTCATTAATATACTTGCATATATTTAGGTTAATTATATAGAGCATCTTTGGATTCATAATCACAAGTGTAGGATTTATAAATTTAAAAACATTTTTTGGTACACTCATTTATTTATATATAATTTTTAGTACACTAATTATTCAGTAAGGGAGCGCTGCACTATTGTTTGAATATATACACTTCAAAAGCTGAATCAGGAAGAAATGACTAGGGCAGCACAGTGGCTAAATGGTTAGCACTTCCGCCTGGCAGTACTAGGGTTGTTGGTTCGAATCCCAGCAACGGCACCACCTGCCTGGAGTTTGCATGCTCTCCCTGTGCCTGCGTGGGTTTCCTCTGGGTACTCCAGTTTCCTCCCACACTCCAAAGACATGCTGGTAGGTTAATTGGATCTAAATTGGCCGTAATATGTGTATGTATGAATGTATGTTAGGGACCTTAAATTGTACACCCCTTGAGGGTTAGGGACTGATGTGAATGTATATATATATATATATATATATATATATATATATATATATATATGGAAAGCGCTGCGTAAAATTGGCGGCGCTATATAAGTACCTGAAATAAATAAATAAATAAAGACTGCAAGAGACAATTATGCCATACAGGACGCTCCCACATCTCTAATGACACAATTTGTCAATTACTAAAATGGGCTGGTCAGTGGTCCTGTATGTACCAAACAGCCTAGGCTTGGCATTGCCAGACTTGTACCTGTTTGGGACTATGAATGTCCATTGCACAAGATTGGGCACCTGCAGAAAATTAAAACAGCTCTGAAGCAGGGGAGAAAAAAAAAAAAAGTATGTAAAATTTTCCAAACTGGATTTAAGGGCTGGGCAAAATGCTGGTGCAATTGCTTCAAATACGATGATGACTATGTGAAAGGGTAATGCCGATTTTAGGAATTTGTAGGATAACTGTATGCATGTTCATTGCTTACATCTCTGCATAATTAACATTTTACAGTATATCTTAACAGGCATTCATTTTTGATACCCTTTCATATCTAGTACTCAGTCTGGCAAAATTATTCACCCCAATCCTAAACTTTACCCTATCCATATCCCTGATTTTTGCCCAATTCTTAAAGGACATCTGTACTGAGAGTATGTAGAAAACATTAGTTGCTTAGCTGTCCCTGGTTTCAATACTCATTGACACAAAATATAGCAAATGAGGTTGCATGACAACCAGCATTTTTAGAAGAAAAGGTCAGCAAAACCAATAGCTGCATATGAATTCTGTACAAGATCATCAGTTAGGCACTGTGCAGCCATTTGTGTGCATGTGAGTTAGCTATACTATGGGGCGTCAGAATAGAAATTTCTCTCATCCATTACTATTTATATACTCTAAAACTGTATGGAAGAGATTTGCCGGCCTGAAAACTGCATGGAAGCCACCCCCTGCAAGTTACGAAGCTCTGGCTGCTATTCTTGTTAAGGCCTCACCACACAGGAAGATCAGACTGTGTCTGCTTTTACTTTAGGCACGAAGGGGCACCGATTTATATCCAATAGCAGGGGGGTAGTATTGGTATCAGATCACATAAGAAAAATTGCATTACCATAAAAATCTTGATTCGATTCGAATAAAACCAGGTGTCTTTCGTCACTGACATTTTTTTGAACATGCCCAAAATAGGACATGGTGCAAACCAAAAAATGTTGCCAAAAAAAATTGCATCCTTCATAGCTAAATCAATATAGTCACATTGCAGAAATTTAGCAGTGCAAGACAGGGGATAGAGAACGTCATTAAAAGTACACAAACACAATAGGCCTTTTAATATGTTGCCAATCTTGTATGCATTAGAAACAAATGTAACTGTGGAACACTTACTGGTCTGATGTCAATATCACACATTCCAACACTGGTTGTAACAACATGGCTGACACCAAGCATAGTGTTTCCAGACAAGCCCTATGTAGATAAAACAGATTGCAAAACAGATTAGAATATGTATAAACGGCATTTTCATTTTTGTAGTGGATCCTCTCATTCTTCTGAAACATGGACGAAATAGGTTTTCCACCAATATGCAAACTACATCCACAGTCCTCTGTACTGAAAAATTTTAACTAGAATGTAAAAATATGTATTTGGAAGTCTGCATCATACTTCAAGCAGTATAAATGAAGATATACTTATTTACACAGCCTGAAGTAGAGATGCTTGGTGTAAGAGTCCTATTGCAGTATTGCTACTGCATGTATGTTTCACTGACTCTTGTAAATTTTATAGGAACCTCCATTTAAATATTTTGTTACATATCCCTTTCAGTACCTAACAACCATACTGTATCATTCTGCATGAAATGTTTCCATTTACTGTACTCTGAGGCAACTATGCTTTATTAGAGTTAGCAGACACCCTTGTTATCTTGTAGCTGAAAAAAATAGCAGCTGGCTACTTTAAATATTGTTGCACAGTTTCAACTTGAAAAAAAAAAGTGCCCGGTTGCAGCCTTAAAGCGGAACTACACTGCATCTGAGCACCACAAACCAAAAAAAGCTGTTGAACACATTTTACTATTCAAACCAAACTCATCCATCCGTGTCTACGTGCTCTATTTTGCAGATATCACTTTGAAAAACCCTATCATTTCTGGCCATGGCTATCTTGAGTAATGTCAGATGTTTAACCACTTCAATACTGGGCACTTTCACCCCCTTCCTGTCCAGGTCAATTTTCACCTCTCAGCGCTGTCGCACTTTGAATGACAATTGCACAGTCCTGCAACACTGTACCCATGACATTTTTATCATTTTTTTCACACAAATAGTTTTCTTTTGGTGGTATTTAATCAACACTGAGTGTTTCACTATTTGCTAAATAAAACAAAAAACACCTGAAACGTTTGAAAAAAAAAAAAAAAAAAAACCCACACACTTTTCTTCGTTTCTGTTAAAAATTTTGCAAATAAAAGGTCTTCATAAATTTAGGTCAAAATGTATTCTGCTACATTTCTTTGTTGAAAATAATAATTGAATTTTTATTTTTTTTCAAATGTTTCTATTTTTTTATTACATTTTTTCTTTTACAATTTTATTTTTTAGCACACTGTGACCACAGCAATACAATGTTACCATAGTAACATTGAACTACTCTGGGCAAGTGATCAGGATTTTTTTTCTTTAAACACATTATGATTGCTAATACCAATGTATTTGATTGATATTTGTAATCATTGTTACTGAATGAAACTGATTAATTCAGTCTTTTGTTGTGATTATCTGTGATTGGGCAAAGTTGATCACATGATACAGATGGGCTGTGATTCGCCCTGTCTGTATCATGTGACTGCCTTGACCAGTCACAGCTAAAAACATAATTGTATACAATGAATGGCATGACAAGAAGCCATCAATTGTATACAATTGACATGTGATCTGCTGTGATTGGTCACAGCGGTCACATGACACTGGCAACAGGCTAGTGTAGTGATATGTCATAGGCTGTGTCCCTTGGACACAGCCGGTGACAGATCGAACCGCTGCACGGCCCCCCATGAGCGGCTTGTTTTGACAGGACGTCACGACGCCAAGTCACAATGGCGAGTGTCCCGCCCGACCATCAATCTGCTATAAGCCGGGTGGGAAGGTGTTAATCTAGCATCCATCTGCCCTTAGCTCAGCCATGCAGGCAGGAAGGTGTGTTTAGCTGAGAAAACCCCTCCTCCCCTCCTGAAGACTGCTGGGATATATGACATAATTTGCCTATGTCTGGGAACCAGGAAGTAACTGAAGAAATGTTAACGTTTAAAACAAGTAAATACAATATACTTTCCTATCTACTTACTAATTTTAGCAGCCTAAAGATTCAAAATAACTAATGTTGACAGAGAGTAAAGCTCCACTTTAAGTGATATAAACATGCATGTTTATGTAAAGTGATTTCAAATGCAAGCACTTTCAAAGATTGGATCTTGCTGGTATGTTTCATTTCCCTCTGACAGTTAGATTAGGACTACACAAAGGTCATGACCCTCAAAGTCTATTGCTATAAGATTATAGTTGCTAAGACTATGGCTAAAAGATTGAAAGTAGCAACATACACAGGTTAATAAACTCACCTTAACATTCGAAGGATCAAATAACCCTTCGGGAATTTTCAAACGTTCTGCTCCAAAGTCACAATTGTAACCGTTAGGAAACTCATAATGGACTGTAGGCATCTGGGCTGCCACCCTAGAGAAATAGGACAACATTTTGTGCTGAATAAAGCGGTCCACACCACCTATTTTATGTGAACACGAAGGACAGACATTGGACCACTTTTGAAGACCACTTGTAAAAATAGTGTTTAACATCTTGTAAACAGAAAATGGTTTTGGACCACTGACATAACTGTAAACTTACTGCTCATCATAGGTGGAGTCAGACACTTGAAGCACAGATGCCTGGAAATCCTGAATCACACACTGCAAAGGGTGACAATGGATTTAGTGCTGTATACTGTAAAGTCAGGACACAAGGACCACACAAGCATGTCTTACTTACACTGCACATATAATTATGCCAGGAGCGAGTGACCTGAGGTAGTTTCTCTTTTTTCTTCCAATTGGCTGGCGCTCCTTCCCGTACTGCTTCCTAAAGAGCACAAACCCATGATGACACTGCTGAACACACAATAATCACTTCACATTGGTAGCCTATTAGATGACTGGTTTATCTTACCTTTGAAGCAATCATGTATGGGGGAATCAGATCAACGTTCATCTCTTGAAATAACTCTCTGCATTGCATAGTAATGAAGTCGCCAGCAAGCGGAGATTTTACAATACCTGTCAAAACAAGCAAGAATGCAATTAACAAACCAGTCATTTTTCTTATTAAAGGAAATGTGTTATAATATTTATTAGGGGTCAGCATCTTTCTAAAAATGCTGGTTCCTGGAAGTCTTAAAAAAAAGATTAAGGGCCAATTCACACCAGTGCGCTGATCTGCGCTTTAGAATTCGTTAGTTATATCCTGGAAAGATTACAAAAAATAGGTGTAACTACCACAAAGATGTTCTATGTCACCTGGAGGCAGTTGTATTCTGATTGTATGCTTATGTCTCAAGAGTTCTGGAATTAAGCATTTTGTTGCTTAGAGACTAGGCTAGATTTCAGGGGGTTTAAAACTCACAATAACAGTCTGCTTGAAATTCATTATTAATTGTAAAATTCTAATCCATCTAGTCCTGTTTTATGCAATGAAAATCAGTGTACTGACATGGAAAGGAACACCTCTTCAGTTTTCTCAACTAAGCTTAGCACACCTGCGAGTGATTTGATTCTTGTTAATAAAATACAAAAAGCATAAACAATTAAAAAAAAGGAAATCAAAGTCTCAAGCCTACTTCTGGAGGCTGGTAGGTAAATTGTTTCAGTTAACAAATCAAAGCATTAAAGACAGTCATTTCATCCTCGGGAGCCTTTGAGATTATAGGCATACAAATTAGTCAAGGTATGACAAGCAACCTGGCCCCTAGCATTTAAAGTTTTTGTTTTTTTTGTTTTTTTTTTAATACGCGACTCTATCCACATTGTTGGATCTGGTGGTAAAATGGTAAATTATGTAACAAAGGGTATAGAAGAGAGCAATCTGAGTCAGTTTAGAAATCTACAGTTGCAAGAAAAAGTATGTGAACCCCTTGGGATTACGTGGAGTTTTGCATGAATTGGGCATAAAATGTGCTCTGAACGTCATCTAAGTCACAACAATAGAAGAACACAGTCTGCTGAACATAATACTACACAAACATTAGATGTTGCCATGGTTTAATTGATGGGAAAATGAATTCCAGAGTTTATCAAGACATTTTGCAGGAAAACGTACGACCATCTGTCCGCCAACTGAAGCTCCGCAGAGGATGGGTGATGCAACAGGACAATGACCCAAAGCATACAAGTAATTCAACAAAACAATGGCTGCAACAGCACAGAATACACCTTCTGGAGTGGCCCAGTCAGAGTCCTGACCTCAACCCGATTGAAATGCTGTGGCATGACCTTAAGAGAGCGATTCACACCAGACATCCCAAGAATATTGCTACACTGAAACAGTTTTGTGAAGAGGAGTGGTCCAAAATTACTCCAGATCATTGTGCAGGTCTGATCTGCAACTACAGGAAACGTTTGGTTGAGGTTATTGCTGCCAAAGGAGGGTCAACCAGTTATTAAGTCCAAAGGTTCACATACTTTTTCCTCCCTGCACTGTGAACGTTTACATGTTATGTGCAATTAAACCATGGCAACATCTAATGTTTGTGTAGTATTATGTTCAGCAGACTGTGTTCTTCTATTGTTGTGACTTAGATGGCGTTCAGAGCACATTTTATGCCCAATTCATGCAAAACTCCACGTAATCCCAAGGGGTTCACATACTTTTTCTTGCAACTGTAGGACAGAAGACTACAAGGGACAGAACCAAAAGTATTACATTATGAAAAAGAAGCCTATTTCCACTGCCAACTAGTCTGACTATCCCAGACACTAATAGAAATAAAGCACATTAGAGATAACTGTAGCATGGGGCACGTGTAATGTCTGAAAGGGTCTCTTGTAGGTGTAGAATCTGCACCATAAAATAATTAATGTATCTAATTTGGTAATATATAACAATACAATTATACATAAAAATTGAGAAAACAAATGCAGAATGTACACTTAGTACATGCCTCATAAATGTGTTATGAAAAAGGTCAGGAAAACTGCACCAACATCATGCAGTGAAACTCTTTGTATTCCCCTTCCACTCTCTGGAAGATACATTACTGCTATTGGCTGCTCTTACCTTGTTGAAGTACATATCCATCATGAACTGGAATGGCTGTAGTATGTGTGGACCCACTATCCAAAATCAGACCTGTAGATCGACCGTTAGCAAATCTAATTCCAGGAGTCAAGGAATTATTTATTTCAGACATTACAGATGAATTTAAAACACATATAAACCCAATCATTAAAATCTCACAAAATCTTCAACATGTCAATGCAATTTCAAATGTACTTTTCATCACAGAAATAATATCCGGTGATCCTACAGTAAACATCACAGTTCAATTACTGCTATAGGACGACACTCTGTCCATGTCTCCCAATTGTTCTACCGTGTTGGCACCCCATCACATCCTCTCCCAGGAAACAGCCATGTTAATCGACGTTACACAGGTATTTTCCAAGGTTGTCCCCAATTTTTTTTCAGGTGTGGGTCTTAATTGGCCATTGCATGTCTCTTCTGCAATAAATAGCCTTCCTGTTTGTTTTTTATAATCTTTCCTGACCTTTGCTTTAATAGACCAAGCTGTACAGAAAATTTGGCAATTAGAGTTTTGAGAAAAAAACATTTAATACTGACGGGTGTTTACAATGGTCAGCTTTCTTTGTTTAGTTAAAGCAGATTTAAACCCTCCCATCATTTAAAGCTGAGGAAACTATCACCTTAGGGTCTGTTTGATCTGTAGTGGCCATGGTGCTGCACATGATCAGCCAGGACAGCAGCCATTCGATAACTTTCAAGTGCACTGTCAAGCTAACAAGCACACTAGTAACTAACAATTATATTATAATTTATGTCATTGCCCTGAATATAACCAATTTAGGAAACAGTTAAATCAGTGAGTTTATTTCCACTTTAAAACCTTTATCGCTAAGGAAAAAAAGGTTTCTGTAACTGCTTAAAAAGTGTTAGCTTTTTACTTAAGTGCATCTAAAGCTACTAGTCCATCTAACACTACACCACTCCAGACAGTGTTGCTGTCCAAGGGTAGTCGAGTGTAGCCACCATAAGACCGGAACTGCGTTAATCAGGTGAAAACAAAGGGAAAAATATAACTAATGCAGCCACCACATGTAAAGATTTAGAAGTTTTAATATAATCAAGTTATGATTTTGGTTTAGAAATGCTTTAACCACTTGCCTACCGGGCACTTATACCCCCTTGCCCAGGCCAATTTTCAGCTTTCAGTGCTGTCGCACTTTGAATGACAATTGCGCGGTCATGCAACACTGTACCCATATGAAATTTTTATAATTTATTTCAAATAGAGCCTTCTTTTGGTGGTATTAATAGCTTCTAGGTGTTTTATTTTTTTGCACTATAAACAAAAAAAAAAAAAGAGCAAAACATTTTCTATTATAAAATTTTGCAAACAGGTAATTTTTCTCCACTGATGTGTGTTGATGAGGCTACACTGATAGACAGCACTGATGAGGTGGCATGGATAGGCAGCACTGATATGCAACAATGATGGGCACTGATGGATGGCACTGACTAGCTGCAATGGTGGGCACAGGTGGGTGGCACTACTAGGCACTGATCATCAGTGCCCTGATTGGTGCTGATCCGTCCTCTGACAACTGCCAGTTATCGGCTGCACTTTCCTCACTGTGATGTTCAGTGCTAGCACCAATTAGTCTGAGCCTCTGACTGGATGCCTAAAGCCTTTTATTGTTGGTTGAATCTGAGATGTCTCTGACTACAGTAGTCAGAGATATGTCAGATTCAACCAACAATAAAAGGCTGCAGGCAGCCAATCAGAGGCTCAGGCTGTGAGTGGAGGAACCCTTTGCATTTCCATGGCCACAGTTTAATACTGTGCTAGCGGAAGGGACTCAAGAGTGCAAAAAGCAAATTACTTGCCTTGCCCTGGGAGCTGACAACCCACGCTACGCCACTGGTAATACCCAACTTATCACCAGTTCTACAGTAGGTTCCATCAAGTGGTAAGCAAAACAGCCACAGCACTGTCAGGGGGCAAAATCTGCTGCCAATTGCAAGGCAGTGATTTAGCATTGTCAGCTTGCAACAGAAATTCCCGGCAGGATCTCCTGATAAGAAACTTTGGGGTCAATTCACTAAGAGATAAATACCGCATACTTTTTATTATTATTCATTTAATCTAAACAGTAGTACATTTCCTATTTCATATATAAAAAAAACAAAAACAAATTACCGAATGTGTTAAATATTTATGTTTTGCAATATTTATCACTTAAAATATGTGATTTTTGGAGGGTTTTTTTTTGCACTTTTTTTTTTTTTTTTTTTTTACAGAATACTGCACTAGAAAATAAAGAAATAATAGCAACCCCAAACATTCTAGCGTGCTTTCATTCACAGAATGATCTCCCTCTGGTGAATAATTTATTTTCATTCTTGAGCTTGGGGCAGACGATTTCTACACCAATACACTGTAGAAATTAAATCTACTGGCAGGTTATAAAAAATAAATTAAAAGAATGTGTGTATTCTTTAGTGAATTGACTAATGATTTTTTTTTTTTTGCAGTATTTACCTTATATTCAATATTTTACTTTGATGAATTGACTCTTTATTATCTCGTGATATTTCTGAAAAATGGGTCAAATGACCTTCATATAGCATGCAAAATTCTATAGTGAATTGACCCTTGATTCATAATAAAGGATTAGGTTAAAGGAGAACTAAACCCATCAAGGTAACGTTTCTCAAAACAGTTGCAATCAAGGCAAGCCATGATTGATGACTGTCACATGGGCTTGTGCTCTGAACCAAAGCGAGATAACTGGTGTCATAACTGATCACATGTGTGCTGCACCATGGCAACTGCACATTAATCACTGGACCTCTGGAAGGTTTTACCAGCTTCATGGCCAGAGCATTTTTTTTGCTATTCAGCACTGTGCTACTTTAACTGGCAATTGCTTTTTTATGCAACACTGTACCCAAATGAAATTTATATATTTTTTTTCCACACAAAATGGAGCTTTTAGTGGTATAGTATGGTATGAAAAAATTTTGAAGAAAAAAAAAAAAACTAACATTTTTCTTAGTTTGTTATACAATTTTGCAAGCAAATAATCTTTCTTCTTAAAATTTAGGCCAAAATGTATTTTGCTACATTTCTTTGCTAAAATAACTGAAATCAGTGTATATTATTTAGTCTGTGTGTAAATTGTAGAGTCTAAAAACTATGGTATATGTACTAGAAAATGAATCAGTCCTGATGTACTGACGGCCTCTCTCATTTCTTGAGGCCCTAAAATACCAGGACAGTGCAAATATCCCCTAAATCAGGGGTGGGCAACTGTGGCCCTCCAGATGTTGGTGAACTACAAGTCCCATCATGCCTCTGCCTTTGGGAGTCATGCTTGTAACTGTCAGTTTTGCAATGCCCCATGGGACTTGTAGTTCTACAATAGCTGGAGGGCCACAGTTGCCCACCCCTGCCCTAAATGACCCCTTTTTTGAAAATAGACAGCTCAAGGTTTTTTTGTAAGAGGAATGGCAAGTTTTTTGAAGTTGTCATTTTTTGGACAATGAAGAAATTAAATTTTTTTTTCCACACATACTGTCACCAGTGCAGCACATCGTCATCATATGACTGGTGAATCAGTGATCAGGGATACTGACTGGTGATGGGATGTTAAAAAAAAAAAAAAAAAAAAAAAAAATGAAATCATTTTTTATTCAATCGTTTCAACAGTTTATTTCTTTAACTTTTTTTTTTTTTTTTTTTTTTTTTTTTTTTTTTTTTTTTTACACACGAGAATAACTCAGTTTCACCATAGTGACCAGGGATTGATCAGGATTTTTTTTAACACAGTTATTGCCTATAAAATTGACAATCACTGTTAAAAGCAATAGTTTTAACTGGCATGAATGGATCTCAGTCAAAAAGAAAAAAAAAAAAAAAAAAAAGAAAAAAAAGCAGACTTGATGGACCACTTGGTCTTTTTTCTGCCATCGCTTTGCTATGTTTCTATGCATGGAAGCCATTCGTGACAGTTTGGACTGGTCATGGTGATGGCCTGGTACAGAGCACTGTGATCCGCTGTGTCCTGTGAACGCAGGATCACGCCACAGGGGGATGGCAGTGCACATGTACTGGAATGCCGTAGTACCTAGGGATGCCACCCGGGAGGCAAGTGGTTAAACACAGGCTAATATGCCAGCTTCCTTGGATAGAAAGGACAGGGGGTTTAGTTTAACTTTTCAGAAAACGATGTACAGTGAGGCACGATGCCAAACATAATAGAAATCGGTTTTAAATATTATGTTTCTACGTTAATTTATACCATCTATATACTATTGTAATGTTTCATAGATGATATAACTGTAACCATATGCCCTGTTCGACCTTTATCTAAATAAAGAATGTATAAAAATATGTTTTTGGTTTACATACACTTAAAGGTTTATTTTAACAACACAGCAGCTGTATTTATACCAGGGCTTGACAAATTAGCTTTGAATGTAGGAGCCAGCTAAAAGGAGCTAGTTGTTTTTAGCGTAGCGTGGCTTGTTAGCACCCAGGAAAAGGCAACTTTTGGCCGACAAAAGCGATGCGATTTTCCACGCGGCAAAACTGTACCATGTTTTAGGTGCCACTGAAAATAATCGCACCTGAACCTGTGTTTAGTGATCACACTGATTCTGCCACAATCCCAAAATGCCCAGGTGTGAATGGAGCCACCATGGTTCACACATATCCAATTCTGGATGCGTTTTCAAACTCAAAGATTCACATGACAGATGTTCCTATTGAGCTGGTTCACACAGATGCAATCCACACCCATTACGAAAAGGGTCCTGTGCGAGTTTGTAGCGGTGTGTTCCAGACTCGCAAGTGATAGGGTAGAGTGGCATGTGGAGATAAGTGTTCACATAAGATTGCTATTGACAGGCATTTTTGCATTGAAGTCAATAGGAGGCGTTTTTGCATTGAAGCCAATGGGACACGATTTTGCACTGAAGTCAATGGGAGGCAGTGTGTGAACCCAGGTGCCAGCACGATTTCTAGTTGCTATGACAACCTGAGATTTGTCAAGCCCTGATTTATACAACTAACTGCCGACAAGTAGAAGGGGCAGCAGCAACAGACCAGGACACCCAATGTCCAAAACTGGTAATAGACTAAAATGAATACAAGGCTAAAACAAACTGGTTCTAAAACAAATTCTAAAAAATGCTGAAAATCAGAACACTGTTCTTCTATAAGATCCATTAAATCCAAACAAATTTTAGTTTTTAAAACACTGGAAAAGGATACGCAGTGAGAACAGCTGTTTTGCACAGGAAGAATGCTGGAATATTGTAATGCTCAAACATCAGCTCTGTCAGCTTCTCTCGTTTTGCTCTTGTATTCCACTGAAGCAAACAAACAAACACAACTATTAATACAAATCTATTGTTTATCACATGAAGCTTTGAAACTGTGGCCAAATTTACTTACAGCAGCCTCGGACATCAGCACTGGATGTAAACTGGCTTCTGACTTGATGTGTGTTTTGTAGGTATGGTCTAAAATAGCCTGAAAACTGTCCCAATCTTCAACTAAAAGAGATAACAATTGGTAAAACCACACCCACCAGTCTGCTTGTTTCAGTACAATCGTACCCACTCGTGTGCTTGTTTTTAGTACAACCGCACTCACCAATTTGCTTCTTTCAGTACAATCACATCCACTTGTCTGCTTCTTTCGGTACAATCACATCTACTTGTCTGCTTCTCTTGGTACAAACACTAGCAGCTTGTTTCAGTACAATCGAATAAACTAGTCTGTTTCAGTACAACATACACTAGGAAAAGCTCAAAGAGTGACTTGAGACCCTTTCGAACTTCGTCACGCTTCCACAGCTAAATTGCCAGTGCTTGCGCCATATTCATGTACCTTTTAGAAACAAGTACATGAACCTGTTGGAGGCCGGCACTGAAGTTCAAGTGTCCATACAGGACACCACTTTCTCAGAGTACTCCCTCCCTGGCCACTATGCCATCACACAGACAGATATTTGGCAGAGGAGCTTTGCAGTGGGGTGGGCAAAGCCTTGATGGAGAACTGAGAGCCTAGATCCCCATCAGGTGTGCCTTGCTTTAGATTGACAGAACATGGCAGTGCGCACATTTCATAGAAGTGGCTTTGAAATCTGCCCAATACCGTGGCAAGGCTGACCAGATAGGGAACTAGTCTCCCCATCAGGCTGTGCCCACCCAATGGCTTCTGTGGCCATGGAGACTAATGCTTAAGCCACCTCCCCTGTGACGTTACCTCCCCAGCATCCCTAACCTCTTTGTTTATATTCAAATTTCAGCCAGGGAGACTCCCAGATGACAGCTTCTTTGCAAAGACATATCTCACTCTAAGTAGTGGCATTCCTCTGTACACCAGCTTGGAGCTGGTCCTAATTACTGCAAGTTTCCGTATATGTGAACTGGCTGTAATTATTTAAAAAGCTGTTGCAGCCAACTGCAACCTTGATTTGCCATGTACTGCTTTTGTTTACTTTGTAATACTCTTGCTGTACACTACCCAACTTTCTTTTCAAAAGAAAGAATGCATTACAGAAAAAATCTGTTGCAGCCAAAGTGACAGGATCTTAATGCGGTGGTAGTTAGAACTACCTGAATTTGTCACACATGTTGGTGCAGTTGCTGGCGAAAATGCTTTCTTGAACTAGGCAAAGGTAGCTTTAAAAATGCACTACCGCTAGAAAACTGTTGTAAATACCTTACTGGATTCCCCAGACTTGACGTTTTATGGTTGAAAGCATTTTCCAATAGATAATTCCACTGTATCTATCTGGGTAGATTTTGAAGATCATAGAGCTACTATTGAGCAGGCACAGAACCACTCACAGATTTGGGCATACTTGTCTATGTGCCAGTCTTGCAGTAAAGCTCAAACACTAAATAATGACATACATGCACCCAAGTGGAGGCAAAATATCAGTGATCTAGCAATAACTTACTCATTCCATTTTTGAGAGGTGAAAAGGCCTCCATGTTTTCTCGTGGTACCCTGAGTGCATTTGTATCAATATAATAAGTAGGACCTCTTGGTTTATTTGGCTCTCCATCTGTTTCCATCTGCGTGCTTCCATCTTCTCTATCAAGAACCACACCAATCGTCGTAGGAAAATCTACCTGCAATGTTTCATATTATGCTTTAGAACTGAAGGGAAACTTTATTTAAATAGCTATATACACAGTTGAAATAAAAACAAATTATATCTGCCAGCAAATATCTTCATTCATGCCACTAAATAAGGCTTTGAGTGGAAAATAACTTTGAAATGATGTACTTCAAATTTGAATTTCAGATATACATGACAAAGCGATCTGAGCACAATGACCACTTTTTCTACTTACCTTTGGACAATCTTCTCCTGCATACCCAGCCCGTACCGAAAATGAGCCAATATCAAACACCAAGGCTCCAACCTCATCTAAAAATTAAAAAAAAGAGATACATACAATATTTTATAATGCTTAAGTGTCCCAACTGCAGTGAAAACTAAAATGTGTTATATATAAGGTGGACTGAAGCAAGAGTCAGACTTCCCACCACTGCTAAGTACTGTACCATATTCTATGTAAGAGCGACCTTGGGGCAGGTGTTTTGCAGCCTCCAGAGATAGCTGAGAACAATGCTACCAGATAACAGCCAGCAAAGGCAGAGAGCACAGGAAGGTATCGGCTCACAAGGTTTCTAGCAGGATCAACATTCTTTGTACTCGTCAAACAGAAGGCTTTCAATGGAATATTTAAAAGATAAAGTTCACTTTTTGTAGCACAGTAAACCCATATTCAAGATGTAACATGTAACTATTGCAGCAGCCCCCCCCTGCAATGACAGTGTGCAGGTCCCAAGATTGCAAAAGGCCAACTGCCAATCAAAGAAGCGATGCTTTACAGGCTCCTAATGAAACAAATAATAAATGCACTTTTTTTACCTGCAAAAAAGATGTGCATTTATTATTTTTTTAAAGATTAATTTATCTTTTAACTGCTTGATGCCCACCCACAATGTACTGCGGACGGGCCGCAGCATCAGATCGAGGGCAGTAATTCTAGCACTAGACCTCCTGTGTAAATATAAAGTGGTGACCTGTAAATAAAGCGTCACCAATCGATATTAAAAATGTACATAGTCTGTCGCCGTTGCACGGGCATGTGCAATTTTAAAGCATTTCATGTTTGGTATCTATTTGGCGAAACATCATCTTTTAAATTTTATTTTAAATTTAAAAAAAGTTTTATTTTTCAAAAAAATTGCAGTGCAAATACTGTGTGACATAAAAAATTGAAACACACAGTTTTATTTTCTAGGGCCATTGCTTTACAAAAAATATATATGTGGTGGTTAAAAGTAATTTTTTTTTTCATGTAAACAAAGTGTCAGAAAAGGCTCGTTCTTCAAGTGGTTAGAAAAATGGGTAATATGTGGCAGAAGCTTCTGTTTGTCCTGAAATGCCAGGATAGTAGAAGCACTCAACTCCACCCCCCCAAATGATCCACTTTTGGAAAACAGACACACCAAGATATTTGCTAAGGGGCATGGTAAGTATTTTGCAGATCTCATTTGTTGCCACAAGTTTTTTGAAAATGAAGAAAGAAAACAAAACTGTATTTTTTCTTTTCTTTTTCAAAACCTTGTGACAAAAATGAGATCTGCAAAATACTCACCATGCCTCTTCTGAAATTCCTTGGATTGTCTGCTTTCCAAAAAGGGGTCATTGGGGGGGGGGGGTGTTTGTACTATCCTGTCATTTTAGGGCCTTGAAACTGTGATAGGTAGTGAGGAAGTGATATGAGGAAATATGCCCTTTGAAAGCCTGAAAGTGGACACTAGATTTTGGCGGCCTGTATGTGGACTTCAGGAGAAGTAGCAGAATGTGTTTTGGGGTGTTATTCCACATATAGCCATGGCACACGTGAGCAATATATCATTTAACCACTTTCCAACCATACTATAGCCGAATGACAGCTACAGCACGGTTGTCCAGTCCTGGAAGGGCATCATATGATGTCTTCCCAGAACGCACCCGGGGGCACGCACCCAGAGATCTCCGAGTCCTATGGACACAGCTGATCACGTGATATGGTAAAAGGCCAATCACAGCAGCCTTTTACCACGTGATCAGCTTTGTCCAACGACACAGCAGATCATCGATAAATGCAGTTGCCGGTCATCGGCTGCACTTTCCTCGCGCTGTCACAGTGTGAGGAAAGTACTGCCGATAACCGGCAATTGTCAGAGGACGGATCAGCACTGATCATCAGGGCACTGATGATCAGTGCCCAGCAGTGCCACCCACCAGTGCCCAGCAATACCGCCGCCCACAAGTGCCCAGCGTTGTTGCATATCAGTGCAGCATCATCAACGCACATCAGTGAAGGAGAAAAAATTACCTGTTTACAAAATTTTATAATAGAAACATAGAAAAACTTTTTTTTTCCAATTATTTTGCTATTTTTCTATTTATAGTGCAAAAAATAAAACACCCAGCGGCAATTAAATACCACCAAAAGAAAGCTCTATTTGTGTAAAAAAAAAATGTTATATGGGTACAGTGTTGCATGACAGCGAAATTGCCATCCAATGTGCGACAGCGCTGAAAGCTGAAAATCGGCCTGGGCAGGAAGGGGGTATAAGTTCCCGGTAGGCAAGTGGTTAAAGTCACAACTTTGTAGAAGAAAAAAAAAAATTGTCATTTTTCAAAAATTCACAGCAAAAATAAAATCTTCCATGGACTCAACATAACCCAAAGTAAAGGATATATTTTTTGTTTTTTACATTTTCAGTATTTTTTCGTTCATATCACAAACAATAACCCAGTGGTGATCAAATACCACGAAAAGAAAGCTCTATTTGTGTGAAAATTTCATTTGGGTACAGCGTTGTATGACCGCGCAATTAGCAGTTGAAATAGTGCAGTGCCAAATAGCAAAAAATGGCCTGGTCAGGAAGTGGTTAAAGAAGACGTTTGGGGTTTCTAAAAATATAAACCCTCGTAGTCCACCTATATGATGCAGCTGTCCCAAATTAGCTCTAAGATAGGGAACTGATCGATCAGTTCTCAATATGCTCAGAAGAGGGTGCAGTGATTGTCAGTCACTACTTTTAGTTCATCCCCTCCAGCGCTCACTGGAGCTCTGTGCTGGAGGGGGCAGGCGCAGCTGGCTTTGACTCTTAGCTAAACAGATTTAGGGGGCTGCTATTGTGGCAACCTCATGAGAAAGTAAGTTGCCTGGCTGCTGACCCATAGTTGTGTAGTATAGCAGCAAGTGGATCATCATCTGCTGGTCACTGCAGTGTTTACTCCTAGCCACAGAGCAGAGCCCACGGTGTACCACAATGTGTTCTCTGCATAACACTGTGGAGAGTACACCGTAACTGGAGAAAGGTGCAGTCACAAGACTTTGACAAGTCTCATGACTGGGCATTCCTAGCATTTTTTTTTTTCCTACATTCATTCTAATTTTTTTTTTTGTGGATTGCTGCAAGTCTTCTACTCACCTGTACTTGATCCAGCGAGCTACCACCAATGAAACCGCAGCCATTTGTCAGTCTTTTGAGCTGAGATGTTTTCCATTCATTCCGACACACAATCTGAATAGTGGAGCAAAACTCTCCATAGGAATGAATAAGGGCTTGTTCACACCATGGAGCAGAGACGTCAGTTTTTCTGCACGTGTTCTGCAAGGGCACATCAAATGTTCTCTATGCGCCCTGTTCAAACTACAACTCTAGCATCACCTGCAGATTTTTTTCTGTGCAGGAATCTGCAACGTATATAAAACTCATTGATGCGAGCATGAAAACGGATGTCTCTGCATGTGAAATCTGCATGTTTCCATCGGTTCTTCTGCACATATGGAGTGAACGAGGCCTGAGGGTACAGAGCACAGGCCCATTGCTGACGATTCAGGGCCCATTCATACCAGATGAGGTGGGATTGCGTTAGCTGGCTATTTCAGTGCAGTCCCACCACATAAATGTCTTCTGTGTGCCTGATTCACACCACTGTGTTTTGGTGAAAAAAAAAGTACCGCGTGCACCACTTATTTCCAGTTCAGTGCAAGGCAATCCACCACCGTGCGGCTGGCAATTTTATGAGATGACTGTGGTATCTCAATAAAGTTTGTCAACCACTTCCCCACCGCCCTATAGCAGAAATACTGCTACAAGACAGCAGGGCTGCGCAAAATCACGAATATATACATGATTTGCATTTTTGGGTAGGAGTGCATGCCCGCCACCATTGGTGGCTACAGATGTTGATCACCGAGTCCTGGACAGAGTTCCTGTCGGCACCCGATGATTGCTGAGAAACAGTGACAGGGGAGAGACCTGTGTGTAAACAACACAGTTCTCTCTCCTGCCAGCAGTAACAGGCTGCTGTGTATTTCTCTGCACAGCAGAGAAATACACAGCAGCATGTTTCCCATGTAAAACAGCACACAGTTAACCATTTGATCGCCCCCAATGTTAACCCCTTCCTGTCTAGTGTCAATAGTACAGATTCTGTGCTTTTGATTAGCACTGATCACTGTATTAGTGTCATTAGGATGTCAATGGCAGTTAGTTCCTCCCAGTGTCAGATTGCCTTCCGCAGTCCCGCTATAAGTCGCTGATCACCGCCATTACTAGTATAAAAAAACGTAAAATAAAAAATCCCAGTATATATACCACCATTTGTAGACGCTATAACTTTCACGTAAACCAATAAATTTACACATATTGGGATTATTTTAGCAAACACAAGTAGCAGAATACATTTTGGTAATTCGATTTTTTAAATTTTTTTATTGGATATGTTTTATAGCCAATAGTCAAAAATATTGTTTTTTTTTTCCAAAATTATCAGTCTTTTTTTGTTTTTAGTGCAAAAAATAAAAGCAGAGGCGATCAAATACCACTGAAAGAAAGCTTTATTTGGGGGGGGGGGGGGGGGGGGAACCCATATATTTCATTTATGTACAGCATTGCATGACCCGCGCAATTGTCAGTTAAAGTAACGCAGCGCTGTATCGCACATAACTGGCCTGGTCAGGAGGGGGGGGGGTAAATCCTCTGAACGGCAAGTGGTTAAAAAAAAAAAAAAGGGATCAGCGTATTGCGTTTAGATCAGCACAAGTACTGTAATGATCAGTCTGGACCGCACAGCAGACCGTGCTGTAAGGCAGCAGCTGGTGTGAACATGCCAGGGGAGATTTACTGAATCTGGTGCAACTGTGCAGAGTAACCAATCAGCTTCTAGCTCCAGCTTGCTTAGTTACTCTTTGGCAATAAAACCTGGAAGCTGATTGGTTACTATGCACAGCTGCACCAATTTTCAAGAAATCTCCCTCACCCTGTGCTGCTGCAGCCTCCTCCTCCTCAGTGATATGTGACTAGATGGGGGGATAGAAGACTTGTGGGGGCACACATAGGTACTAAGTGA